CTGTCACTAAATGACCATTTTATCCAGTTGGACGTGAACTTCTTACCTTTTCTTCATCATCTTCATCAGGAACGACAGAAAAGAAGCGTGGCGACAGAATTTCCAACATTTTCCTGTCGAAGTTTGTAATGTTTTTCCCTTCGATCATCATAACTAGTTTTGCCGCTGAGATGAAGGGCATATATGAACGATAAAGCTCGACAACATCGATGAGCTCTCACCTTCACGGACAAGATTCCCTGGAATTTGCATCAGTTTTTTGTAATTGGATGGTTCCTGTTGTTTTCTAGGTCCTTTTCTTATCACGTCGTCTAATTCATCATAATTGTCGTAATCTCCAAAAACACTTTGCTTCTGAAAATGTGCAATAACATACGGCTCTAATTTTTTGACGGTAGGAGGAGCTATGGCTCAACATAGCTCAAGCTAGTCCTCAGGCATAACCAGTACTCGAAAGAACGATAGGGTCAGCCGTAAATCGTGAAATTCGAGCTAAACTGAATGGTTAAAGGGTCCGTATTGGCATGAAGCACTGAGGAACACACTGCATTCACAAGAGAAGAAAAGAAAACAAGTCAAATTATAGTAATCATTAGTAATTTTAACAAGTAGTTCAGTAATTTGTTTAGTAATTAGTAATTTCTGAATTGAATGAAGTGGAATCTCAACACCTGCCTTCATTGTTCTCTGAGAAATGGATCGGTCGCGTAAGGCTTGCCTCACGATGTCGACGTGCCTGTGCAGTAAGTGCTCTATTTTCCTTCTCTTTTTCAGCTTTCTACCCTCTATTTTGAGCTCTCGGATCGTCTCCTTCCAGCTGAAATATTTGGTAACTACTTTTGTGATAACAGGAAGCTAGTATAGGCAGCTGCTTGCGCCTGCGAAACTTGTTTGATTTTATGGTACTCCTCATCGGTTGACACTTTTTCTCTGCAGAGCTCCAGTTGCTACGAAAATTTTGCTATCCTCTGGATACGTATAAGTACTCAAAGGGTGGATACTTTGGAAATTGTTCGTAGAAACTGACAGGGATCTAAACTGCTAGATCTTGTTCCCGCCCCCCCCCCCCCAACCAATACTGTTCACGATTGTTTCCACCCTGTTGGGACGGACCACTATTTGTATAGGCCTGGTGTAATTAATTAAGGTCTGCAAAAGCACTACTGCTGAAAACTAATCGACAAAGTGAAGCGATGAATTGCAAATAACTTAAAGGAACGGTCCGCGATCAAGTATCGAAGATGAAAATATGGCATCGGGAGGATAGTGCGGTCCGCGACGAACAACCCTGTACCGTTTTCGCGGCAAAAAAGTGCAGGGGAGGGGCGCTATAAGGCAAAATAGGTCCAGTGGTTCCTCCTTTTTCCAGTGACTCCGCCTCCCAAGCGCCGCCCTTCATGCCATCTCAGTGAAAAAACAACAGTTCGCTGGGGAAACGAGAAAAGCCAATGAAAATCTAAAGCCGCCCTTCGTTATTTGCTACGAACCCGTGAAGGCCCGTTGTATTGAGTCAGCTGAGCGCGCGAAGTGGTAAAAACTGGAAATGTATTGCAAAAAGTATTGTATTGCAAAAGTGCACGAAATGTTGGAAGAAAATAGCAACATTTTGAATTTGAAAAGCAAAACAAACTCAAAAAGAACAAAGAAACATACGATGAATTCACTGAAAAAATAAGAATATTAAAGGTCAGTCTTTCAAACGTGGCGCCACACCTATTTCTGGCAGCGAGCCAATAACGTGGAACGCTCGTCCATAAGCGCTGTTTCCCCATCGTATGCACGTACAAACTAGGATCTTCACTATTGTTTTACTCTAAACCTTGTCCTTTTTATGCGAAGCCCAAATTCACTATCTAAGATGGCAAATGAGCGCGGGCTTTGCCTTTAAGCAGCCCCGATGCAACTTCTTAGTTTGATATAGTCTGAAAGATGTTGAGAGAATAGTCGGCTTACCACCGAACTCCTATTCAAATGGCTGTTACTTCCACTTGCGCGCACATTAAAATTCAAGAAAACGACGACGTACTTCTTGTTTTCGTTTTCATC